GAGTTACAAATAAAAAGACACAAGATACTGATATATAATGAGAAATAAAATATACAGATATAAACATTGTATATAGTAGTCTATTTTAATTGTATATAAAAATTATTTATTCTATTTATGTTTTCTTATTTCATTTATTTTTAATAGTTCCGTGCATTTGCACGGGCCACGATACTAGTAAGAGCTAAAACTTCAGGTTCAAGCTATAGCTTCTCAATTCAATATGATTAGGGTGAAATCGGAAACTTACGGAGGGCCTTTAGAAAGCCCAGCCCTTTTTAATAATTGGGCCGCTCTTGTTTTGCTAGACTTTACCTTGGCCTAGTTGAGTCCAAACAATGAAAAGATCCGTGATCTTAGAAAGCCCAAATCTAAATCCTCTAAACATGGGTCATAGCTCGACTAAGGGTGCGTTTGTAAAGTAGAGCTTGACTTTTTACTATTATGTCACAATAAGATATGAATTTTTAACTTTATCATTTGAAAGTTTTAATTTTAAGTTATTTTTAATATAAGACATACTTTTACATTCTATCTTTCAATTTAAGACTTTAATCACTTTGTATTTTGATATGGTTAATCACTTTGTATTTTGATATAACCTTGTAAACAACAATACTTTTTTTTTTTAAAAAAAAATATTTTTCAATTTACTTATAATGAAAAATATTAAATATCTTTAATAAAATTATTCAATAAGATAATTATTTCATAATTTACATTTATGCAAAAAATTAATAAAATTTAATCTAAAAGTTTAAAATTAAATTTTAACTTAATTTTAATCTAAACATCTGACAATTAAAATATAAACTATTTAAAAAATAATTTTATTTTTGTAAATAAACTTATAGAAAATATTATTTGTGAATCACTCAACTATTATTAATCAACCAAATTCAAACCACTATGAGACTACTTTCAAATTTTTTTGACCCATATTAAAAATTTATGCAAAAAATTAATAAAATTTAATCTAAAAGTTTAAAATTAAATTTTAACTTAATTTTAATCTAAACATCTGACAATTAAAATATAAACTATTTAAAAAATAATTT